ATATTGAAACCACACGAAATCACCATGTTTGAATTAACACAAGAATTTAATTTCGACTCAAATAGTTTTATAATCAATTTATTCATTCACAAATACGCATTGTTCTCAGAGGGCTTAATTAATGAATAATACTCATTGATTTTTCCTGTATAAAAATCGTGACAGGTATGCATATTTAATAATTACACAAATATTTTAATGACTTTTGAATAAGCTGATATGACACAAAAATGGATTTTTTAAATTTGTATAGAAGATGACATATCTGACATGTGCTAAAAAATTGCAATTTCATTTTATTGGCAAGGTTTATTTTTTACACTTCAAAAAAATCAATTTTCATAAAACATCGTTGAAATTTTCAATTTGTTTTTGCTCTTCTGAAAATGACTAAAAGTGACATATCAATTTTTAGAACATAGCTACAGACTTAAATTTATTTAAATTATATTTTTCAATTTGAAATGCTTATTTTTAATATCCTATTATTATTGAAGAACGAAATTACATTGATGTAGAATTAATTTAAAATATTAAACTAAAAATACATAAATTATCAAATAATTAATAATAATATACTATGTTTATTAAAAAAATTTGGATAATTGATGATTACTTTTAATGAACCCAAAAGACATAAAAAATATACTTGAAAAAGACAGAATCCGTAAATCAATAACAATATTTTCATCGTTAATATTAAACACATAATGACATAGAGGAAATGAAATTTAATTTATTATTATTATTGTACCTGGAGGTAAAAAACATTATGCTCATTTTTCATAAAATAATGTTTGCTATATCCTTAAATATTTTCACCTATATATAGATTATAGAGTAGATTTAAAAAAAACTAACTGAAATATTTTAAGGTTTGTAAAAAATTTTTATTTTCCTATGTTTATTTTACCATACACAAACATCGAAATGTGCACTAAAAATTTATTGATAAAATGATATCAGAAAGCGCAACTTTTTTACCTTTTTAAACTTTTTCATTAGAAAATCATCAAGGCTTGAATGAGCGCCTATAATTGCAATTAAAAATTAGAATAAAAGTATTACGTATGCTTATTAGATCTTTTTTGTATTAATTTATTACAAGTTTAATAGTTTTATTATACAAGATAATAACTATAATATTTGTATTCAAAAATAAACAAAAAAATGATACTTTGAAACACTTTGTATTTGCCAAATATATATATTAGTATAACTCAAAAATCACTCTACTTAGGTTAATCATCCACAATTTTATTTTCAATACTAATTAATGTATTTGGTGATGTATATTAAACTTGTATTTCTTTTCAATTTTGTATGATTAACATAAGTAAAGCGGACCGGGTTATATTAATTTGTGATCGAATGAAGACTTTGAAAAATCTTACATTTCGTTTTATATAATACATATATTAAAATACGTTAAACTTCCATGAAATTTTCAACAATGCCAATTTTTAAACGAAAAGTATTTTTGTTATAATTGAAAATTGTTCATTAAAATAATAATTTGTCAGTGCTTTAAAGACAAAAGAACCCAAGTGATAATTTTGTTGGTTTTCAAAACAACAAAAAACGTTTTTTACATTTTAAATACCGATATTTTTATTTTTTTGAGCATTTCTTAATAAAATGTTTTAAGTAATGTAAGTTTGTAATGAAACGCATTTGAATAAATAACAGAAATGAGTAGATATATGGATATTATGTTATTAATTATGGTAATATACAGAGTGTTCAAAAAGTAAGGAAACAGGTCAATTGTTACAAACAATAAGAATAATGGAACCCGCTTCCTTACTTATTGAACACTCTATACATTATCATATGTGTTGGTCATCATATTAATGCTAAGTATATTATTTTACTGATTAGATCAAAAGTATATAATAGCGAAAATTATGTTATGATTAGTGGGGTTGGGTGCAACACCTCTGGTGCTGCCACTTTGATGAGTCTATGATTTATGAATTGTTTTATTGTATTTTGCTGTCAAATACAATTGATTTATTACTTTGACTTATTGATGTTTTATGTGGTTATAGTTTATTTTATTGCTGCTTTTAAAAGACTTTATTTTTGTCATAGCCAGGAGTTTCAAGAAACATTGAGGAGACAGGCAATCCAGTTAGTCAAGTGAAGTTATTCTCAGAGTGTGTGCAAGTAAAGGCGAACCAACTTGCCATAAGTAGGTTTCAAACTTAGTCTGAGACCGGCTCGTCGAACTTAACAATAGTGCTTTGTTATTGTTGGCGTTTTAAGCTATAACCTTTTAGTCGTACTCAAGATTCCACTCTTGCTTGTGCTAAAGCTATCCTCGTAAAGGTAAACTCCGATAAGAGTTTTAAGTTTTAGAGTGTATTTTTTTGCGTTTTAAAATTTAACGGTTTATGTTGTATAAATAATATGACATACTATTATATCGTTAACAAATAGTTGATATGTACTTGAATAAAATATAATACTCTAACACATTTGTAAAAAGGAGCAAATATCATATAGTTGAATAACACAGTTTTCTAAGCAATTCAGAAAAGTTGAGTTGAGAATTTTTTTAAGTTTAGTATTGATTTGATTGATATCTGACAGTGTGTGTAAAATGATTTATATTAGAAACAAATTTAAAAAGAAACTTTTTTTAATTACCAAATATTACATGATTTTTGACTCGAGAGGCCAATTATTCATAAAAGAAAGGTAATTAAAATGTTTTTATTTTTTTATTCATACATTACATTGAATCAGTTTTAAATTAAAATGGTTCAAGTATTCTGTTACTATGAAAAATTAAAAATGGGTCATTTTTATCGAAAATAGTATGATTTTTGGCTTTAATACATCATAACTGATAGAGATTTAAGTTTTGGATTGTTTTTATTTTTATCTTTAAGTAATTTTTATTAGCTTTAATTTAATAGAGAGGAAAAATTGATTAGCAATAATTGTTTATTGAATATTCAATACAAAGCATGTCCTTAAAAATGCTTGATCAATTCATGTATCATCGTGCAAAATCAATTCATTAGGAGCGGTCTAATCATGTTAATTGGCACGAAAAAAAAAACAGCTGGATAAAACCGATTGCTAAAAAACAGTTGTATAATATTTTTGTTTGCTACATTTATCCCAGGTGTATGGTAAGTTGTAACATGGTGTGGGTCAAGTTGTAACACAAAAGTACATAATTTATTGCCTAGATAGCAATTTCTAAAAAATAACGTTATTAGAATGTAGTTACAAGCATTTAATTTTTTAAGTTGTTGAAAATTTTGAACTGTATGATCGATATATTGACCTTTTTTATAATCATTTTGTAGATATAATCGAAATATTTAAAAATAAAATATTTTAAAGTCCTCTTTAAAAGCTATGGCTTGTGCCAGATAGAACAATAAACCTATATTTCACAATGAAACGAATGTGGTACCTATACATCAAAGCATCCGCATTAAGTATACATTTGCGTAATTAAAATATTATTTATACAGTTCAAGACTTTGGATTATCCAAAGTATTCTCATTATCATCCGTCCACTCTTTATAATCACATAAATAAAATAGATGCGATAAATGAAATGTAACGACGCTCCTAATCTAGTTAGTTTCAGAAAAACATAACAAATTGACTCATTACAAGTGACAAGCGAAAAATAATTTTATTGTAGTGGTTATAATATAATACATTATATTTTTTTATCTATATATTTGTCATTATAAAACTTGTCAACCTATTCGTGTTTATAAAACATCGTAAAAACAGCAGTCTTTCTACTAAAACGATTCAAATTTGAATCTGGTGAAAAAAAAATTACTTTTTTGCAATTTTTCCTGTTTAAACCAATTTTAACTAGCGGTTCAAATTTATTTATAAATTAATTTAACACAATTTGTTTAACACACAGATAAACATTTATTATTAAGAAAAACAAAAATTTATTGGAGTTAAAATTTAGTCTCTATTGACGCTGAAAAACGTAGCTGCTTGGAAGAACATAACGTTCAACGAGTATTCATGAACATTTGTTTGCAGTAATCCGAGTTGATTAATTTGATCGATTCATACAAGAGCTATAATAATTAGCGGAAGCGATTATCGTCGACGTAGATTTGTGTGAAAACCTCCCTTTAAAACAATACATTTATAACAGCTTATAGACCACGTTCGTTTTACTAAGTAAAGCGAGCATATGAATAAAACATCAACTGACTAGTGCAATGTACTTTACGTCGCAAAAAAGTTGTAAACAAATTTTGTATAGACGCTATTCGAGCTGACGCGCCTGAATAGCCCCCCCCCCCCTGTCGGGCTGTTGACATTGGTACCACTAATGGTAAACGTTCCGTGGTGGATTTCTTGAGCAAGTTTGTACATAACCAATTTTGCGTATTATCCTCTTCTCATAGTGTATGCTGGTCCAGAAACCTCACTCATTAATTATAATTGCTGTGTTAATACTTCGATTTGTCTACAATTTAAGCGTCTAATATTAGTGGAACACCTTTTTGATCATAGTGTTAATTAGGAGATTTTAGTTTTTTATTTTCATCATAACTTTTGCTGATTTTCGATGTTTATGTTAATGGTTGCAACACAGTTTTACTACAAAAAAGAATATTTTTTTTATCTTAAATGGTAAAAATAATATACTAGATGTGAATAATATTTTAAAATTTAAGTTACACTCTCGCATGAGTGTATGTTTGAGAAAATTTCTTGAAGGTTAAAAAATAATCTAATGAAAACTGACCTATGGAGAATCTTATACTATAAAAATTTTAATTAAGTTTGGATTCATGATATTATATAAATTTCTAGAGGTGGAAGGGTCTTAAGACTCATTTAATATCTGTTGATTACCTTTGCAATAACCGCAATATTTATCGTTTATTTATATTATCGACATGATTTGTTAGGAGTATCTCCTAAGCTTAAATATTTCTCAATTAAAAATAATAATATAGGAAATATATCTTGATAAATGAATGAAGCTTGATAAGCATTGAAAAAAAAGAATTGTTTATTAACACTTAAAAAAACATTAATCAAATAACATGTTCAAATATACACATCGAATTCGGCAAAAAATAATTCAATTTTACATAATTATAATATTATATAACATAATCGTTTAGGTGAGTAAATTTTGTCTTAACACATTAGTGAACATAAAAATTTACAAATAAATCATATATTTCTTCTTAAATAATTTTACTCTGTATTCGTAATAATAATAATTAATAGTGTTATATTATATATGTCAAGCTTAGGGAAATTGGTTTAAAAAATTGTATATAATAACAAAGAGATAGTATTTGGCAACTGTCTTAGATATTATTGTGGCCATTTACAGTATGACAGTTTAAGAATTGAGGAAAAATGTATTTTTTCTCAAAATCAATACTCCAACTGTACAGACTGTAATATAATATTACACAACATAATAATGTTTTATGGTCCTGACCTAAAATATAATACTATAAATAATATTATTTAGGAGATCAAGTAAAGTCGGATAAATCACTTGTTTAGCAAAGTAACTGACGGTAAAACAAAAACTATACATAATATATACCTATACAGGGTGATTTTTTTATCATAACTCACTCAATTACTCACAGGATAAAAATCATTGAAACATTTTTTTTTTTTTTTTGATACCTTTATTTAGTTATTATTCTTGAATGATTAGCTACGCAATATTTTTTAAATCTTTCTCTTGTGCATTGTATTGTTGTCAACATTATTTTTTTAAATGTGAATACAATTTGAATTAAATGAAATATTTGAGGTTTTATTTTAATAGTAAATGTCATTTGAATTTTTAACAAAACTGTATTCGATTATTAGATATAAAACTTTATATTATCAAAATGTTGAAATAATATACATGTATTCTATATGAGGAATTATAATTATAGGTAGCTAATTGGTTTTTTATGATATCGTTAGTGTTTATTGACAGTTATGACTATCAATACAACTATGTGCCTTAAACCACATTTTAAGCATATCTGTTGATAAAGTCATAACTCAAAATAAATGCTGGGTATCTGTGAGTAGCGAAGTCATGACGTAGTTTTTTTTATAACGTCTCATAAAAAAACAATTCGCTATCTCTATTTGTGGCCTCTCGTATATCATACATGTATATTATTTCAAAAATACTAGCTAATAATTCAAGAAAAATTAATATCCAAAAAAAAAAATATTTAAATTATATTTAATATGTAAATATTGTATATAGTGGGTTATGATAAAAAAAACACTCTGTATATTTATACAATGAAAAAGTATTTTTTCTGTTCATGTCTTCGTTTTAAGTACAAAACGAAAAAGAAATAAATAATTTCTTTGATAAAAAAAAAAAACTATAATCAAGAGATAAAATATTTATTTTGGTAACTCTTTATTCGTATAACATTTTTATTTAATCCTACACAGTAATTTTATAATTTTTAAACCATAAAAATTAAATGTTATTATGCAAATTATAAGAGAATTTATTTAATGAAATAATTTTTAATAAATAAATTTTATTCAAAATTGTTTTTTCATTTAAAAAATTACAAAAAGAGTAAAAACGTTAATAGGTTTTACAGTCTAATGTGACAGATGACTAACACGAAATAAAAATCCTCGATAAACCAACTATTTATTTACATATCCGTAGTTTCTTTTTACGTTTGTTCCCCTTGTTCTCTGTTTGAAACATACCAAGTAAGCTACTTTATCTTCTTTTTCATATAACCTTGCATTATTAACTTGAGAAGTCTGTTACTATACTTTAAAAACCTATACAAATGCATTATTTAACTTCTAATTTTACTTCTACGCTCAGAGATTGTATGCTAAAATTTTATATTTGTCTTGCAAAAATTAGTTAGGTACCTATTAATTAAGCAATTTATTAAATGAAAATTGTAAGAAACATCTTAAAATATCAAATTTTGTTTTTGCAGTAAAGTATTTTTATTTTATTGAAATAGGACACTTATAACAGCTTAACCTTAAATTCAACACCATATAGAAAATAAGTTGTATAACATAAATTACTTTTGCTTACCTTAGATTAATATTTGGTTCAATTTAATTTCAATAAAAACATTTCTAATATTCATACGACTAATGTTTTATTAACATTTTGTAATGAAACATGTGTACTAATAATAAGTGTAAGGACAAGTAAAACGAAAATTAAAAAACTTTGGTGATGAATCTCTTGCTATTCATGTATAACAAGTAAAAATCCTATCAATTCTAATAAATTAATCTAAAAGCATAACGACATAATCTTATAGAAATAATTTTATAATTAATTATGATCTTATTAATTAATTTTTTGTCTATAACGTCTTTTAATTCATGGTTTATGGTAAAATGTAAAATACACAATATATTTAATCATAAATATTTACAACAGAGTCACGAATATAAAAAAAACATAATAATTATACGTTGATGGCGAGTATTTGCTCTGAAACAAATAAAAAACGTGCATGTTCTATTTAAAAGTTAACATATTTCATTTTTTAATAATTAACAAATTATTATAAAAATCATAACATAGTGGGGGTGCTGATAGGAAAATTGTAAATAATATCTGATCTGTTGGATTGAATAGTAAACAACTTTTTCAATGCGTTGGTGGACTTTTTAAACCCTTTCTGTGCTAAAATTTCCTTATACACTTTCATTAATAGCATATAAAAATAAAGATTATTGTCATTAGCATATTTCATTGAAATTTATTAGAAGCAACATTTATAAAAAAAAATTATAGTAATTTTAATGCGCAAAAAAAAAATATTATATATATCATTATTTAAGATAGCGTAATTTTGAAATATTTTTCTAAATATCTTAGAAATTAACATTTTTTTTCAACTTTTGTCAGTGTTATATTAAATCAGATTAAAAATCATAATCATTTGCCGCTTAGATAAACAAAATTGATACAATGAGAGTAAAGTTTTCATCGACAGACACAAAAATTGCATCATAGTAAAGGATTATTACCTACAATGAATTTGAGATTTAGATTTAATTGTCGATTCGCAAATGGATAATTGTTATTCTTAATTGTAATAGTTTTGTTAAAATTCATAAAATTTACCTGTAATAGTATTTTATAGAATCAAATTTTTTATTAACTTTCATAGTAGGATTTTGAACAGGATGGAACTGGTTCAGGATACACTGAAAAAAAAAAAAAAACAAAATACTGAGAAACAAAAGTTACTTTTTTATACATCAGTAAAAATTTTTTTGGCGTAAATTATCTTAGACAAATCATTAATACATAATGATACATAACAATACATAATATATGTATTTTTAGAATTGAGATTATTTACCGTCAAATTTAATAAAGGTTTTTTTTGGGTCGAATATTCAAAAATAAAAAAATTACAATAATTTGCTTTTGTACAAATCTAAAACTTAAAAAATAAATGTTTTTCAAGTATACTACTAATTTTCTACTAGAATAATATATAATATAAATAATATTTTTTTACAATGAATTATAAATTAAAATAAATTAAGATATAAAAGTTGAAAATTGATTAAAATTATTTTTTTGTATTCATAAATACAAATGAAAAGACATGTATTGTTAAATGTTTATAGAACCAACTATAAAAAGCCCAGAACATTCGGTGCAATATGGATAATTGGCATAGAGAAGACCTTTTTAGATTAAAATCTGAATGTGATTAAAATCACACAACTTTTCGGTTAGATTATGTTTAAAGAAAATCTGATTAATCCTATCTTCGTTAGTTGATATAATTTCAGAACAAATTTTAATTTTAATTTATCATAAACTATTGGTAGCTAGAACATATTTCTTTGATAGAAAAAGCCCCTAATGCCTTCATTTAATATGCTTTTTCAATAGACACTAATATGTGCAAAAACACTCCCTAAAAGTTTTTATATTTAACAATGTGAGACACTTGTTTAATAAAATTTGATTTCCAGAACATTTTCAAAAGTTAACTTGAAAAAAATTCAAATGAATCAAAGACATTGATATTTACATAATTTTTCTTGTAAAACAGCTCATCAAAGATCCATAATGATTAGAAAAAAAATTTGTTTATAACACTTGAATTTTTAAAGATATTACGTGAGACATAGTTAACTATTCACTCTATATGCAGTCGAAAATGTATACAAATAGAACGTATAGCATTTCTTATGCTTAAACAACTAAAGTTAACATTGGCGAGGGAACGAAACTTAAATAACTAATACAATATTAGAAGATGAGTTTTCATTCAGCGACGTACCATTAATATTAAATTATGTTACCCAAACAATAGCTAAACTAAAGTTAGAGGTTGATAAATTTAATAATAATCAGTTTAAACCCAACAATTAAAAAGTGATTGAGTAAAAAAAATTGAATTATTCGTTAATGCTAATTACCTGATACATGTCAATGGATTAGATCAGTTATAAAAAAAATTAGAAACATTTTTACATAACGAAAAATAGTTCTTATACCAACAACAAACTTTACCGAATTGTTAATTATTATAAAAAATTATGATTACTGTAATATGCCAATGCTTTAAATTACAAATCTTACATTAACAATGAAACATTTATAAAACAAACAAATAATTTATTTGTCATTACATTAACACTGTTATACACTAATTATCATATACGTGTTAAATTGAACATGGTAAATTATGCGTTTAAAATATTAATTATATAATGTTCAATTTAATACAATTAACTGAAATTCATTAAAAGCGCTGATGACAATGTGCTTAGAATGGGGAAATTTTCTTATCATATAAAAAATGCTGATTTTCATTTAAGAGAGTGTTCCGGATTCATTGCTCAATTCTTAGTCAATTTTCATAGAATCTACACGAGAATCATTTTATTAGCTGCGGTTCTGTATTTTTAATACGCTTTTATTAGTTTCACATGTATGTTGTATGTTGTATGTAACTTTCCAAACGCCACGCGTTATCGCATATTCCGTTGTCTAGACTAGACTGTTATACGCATTCACCCCTCCCCACGCCTCGCTCACAATACGACGGTACACTATTCCTATAAAAATTTATTTTTAGTTATCGTACCCGTACACGCGTGCTTGTCATCAATATTATATATATGTAAACAAATTTTTATTTTGACTGACCAATAACGCCCGCGTCTAATGCGCCTTACGTATATATATATATATTCCTACCGCCGTTTATACCTCGGGTATAACGTTAGTCCGACCCGCCCGGCCATAAAACACAGCTATACTTAGTGCATGATACTTTTACGTAGTTAAGTCGCATTATTTGTATAAATATATATATTCTAATTACTATTAAAATTAATATATTAACACGATTTATTCTAATTAAGAGATATAAAGTATTCATTCCGATTACGAGGGATGATTTCCGTATCGTCATTTTTCGTCACTACCTCCACGTTCCGGGAGTGAGTAATTTACGCGCCTGCTGCTTTCCTTGGATGTGGTAGCCGTTTCTCAGACTCCCTCCCCAGAATCGAACCCTGATTTCCCGTTACCCGTAACAACCATGATATTGATAGTAACTACTATCATAACATGAAACTAAAAAGTAAAAAATAAATATAGTTTAAAAAACTAAAAAAACACGCTTTTAAAGTACATCGAACTAAAAAGTTAAAAATAATTTTTAAAATAATTATGAACAAAAAATACTAGTATTATTGTGATAAAAGCGTGGGTGCTTTGTGCCATATTTTTCGTATATTGAGCGCCCGACGCTTTTATCACAATAATACTAGTATTTTTTGTTCATAATTATTTTAAAAATTATTTTTAACTTTTTAGTTCGATGTACTTTAAAAGCGTGTTTTTTTAGTTTTTTAAACTATATTTATTATCGACTAATTTTATCGCTATATTTATAAATCATTATTTTGTGTTGAAAACTTTTTTTGTTCTTATAAAATAAAAACTCGAATATATGCGATAAATTGATACATAGAAAGACTAATCGTTGTTTATCTTCATACGTCTTTGGACACTATTTGAAATAAAAAATGACAATATACAAAGTAAGTGAATTTATATTGACCTGATTTATTTAGTACTAATAATTTGTGTAAAGAAAGATAAAGTAATAGATCAAGCATATTCTTACACTTTAATTAACTCTCACTGACTAGTTCGTATGTTATACACAATTATCTCGTATTCGTGAGATGGCAACCACCTTTTTGCTGCTTAAAAGAGTTAAAAAACTTAATGTTATCTCTACTGTATATATAAACACTTTGAATGGGTATTAGTAAGACGGCTGCGACCTCTTTGTTACCTTAGTGTATTATTACAGGTACTCACCAGTTTGTTCCTTTATTAAAAAAAAAAAAAAAAAATAAAGACTTTTAGTTATTTTCTATTTATATTTACTTGTCTTTATTGTTCTAAGCCCTCCGACTCTACGAACCCAGATAGAACCTCGATGCAAACCATTTAACCAAATCAATCATCCTAATTTAGTCAATAAAAACCCATAGTAAAATTCCCCTTTATTTAATTGATTATTACATTACAGAACATACAAAGCACAGCGTCAGAGGAGTAAAGAATTCAGGGGTACAATGTTAATCATGAAAGATTCTAATAGATATTTTGTGTTTACAAAATTCTAACATGAAGCTAATAATTTCTATATTTATAATGAGTAAAACTACTTAACAAATTCAGCATTATATTTTCCTCTTTTAAGATAAGTAACCAAAGAATTTTGTTTTTAGTTTTTTTTACCTCAGGTGACCGATTTATCGCAAGTGGTGATTAATAAAAGTGTAATCATTGATATAATGATAGAAACAGAGTAAAGCAACTGTATGAGGCCAGCGTAAAGTTAATGAAGAATCACTAACAACTTGTATATCGACGTATTGGCCTACAAACCAAACAACTGATTTAATGTCAGAATGTATCCTAGTATTCTTAATATTAGGTTCATACGTAATAATAAACAAAGATGCTCACTAATAAGTATACAAATTGGATATGTTTTTGTGACCATATAGAAAAAAATATTGTCTTGCCAATCAGACTTAAGTTAACAAAAGACATAGATATATGTATACAGTTATTTGCAGATAATGTAACTAAAGCTGCTGAACAATTTACCCACAACAATGAAGTTATATTTGATAAAGAAAAGACCAATCCTTCAGGGATATGAAACTTATTTCAACTTAAAAGAAGTACAAAAAATAAAATAACATCAAAAACGACATTTCACAGACAAAAGCAAATGGAATCGACTTAACAAAATCCTAAAAAAATTTACTAAGTAAAATATCAAATTTTCAAGACATTTTAGTCGCTTATATTAATATAATGCATATCTCTAATTAGTACAATATTGACGATTTTTATAAATAATTATAAAATAAATATTTTTTATTAATATTAGTAAACTAAATTTTTTTACATACTTTTTTAAGACTTGAAATTTTATTGTAAGTTGTGAATATATATATATATAAAATATGTTTTATTAATTAATTTGTAAATCTACAAAAAAGTGAATATGCACTGTTCTAGTATCGACTAAAGTATATTGTCATATAATAGAAAGGCTCTGAACGATATTTTAGCTTATTTATACGAACTCAGAATAAAATTATTTTAATTACTAATTTCATTGTCACATACGCTATATATGAAAATCTTGACTTTTTTTTAAAATTATTCGAATTAAATAGATAATTAACTTATTATTTCGAAAAGAGTTTGACTATGGACTAATTTTAAATTTAAACAAACATAATCTCACTTTTGAAAGGTTATTAACAGCAATATAATAATACGTTTAAGTTAATTGTATTTCAAAAATTATTGACATATTGAATCCATAAAACTAATAGATAAGTGTGAAGATCATATCTAAGAAATTAGATAAGTGAAAAAATTAGTATCAATTAGTATATAAGGTGTGAACTAATTAGTAGCAATTAGTTATAAAGGTGTGAAAAAATTAGAATCAATTAGTTATAAAGGTGTGAAAAAATTAGTAGCAATTAGTTATAAAGGTGTGAAAAAATTAGTAGCAATTATTATATGAGGTGTGAAAAAATTAGTATCAATTAGTATATAAGGTGTGAACTAATTAGTAGCAATTAGTTATAAAGGTGTGAAAAAATTAGTAGAAATTATTATAAAGGTGTGAAAAAATTAGTAGCAATTATTATATGAGGTGTGAAAAAATTAGTATCAATTAGTATATAAGGTGTGAACTAATTAGTAGCAATTAGTTATAAAGGTGTGAAAAAATTAGTAGAAATTATTATAAAGGTGTGAAAAAATTAGTAGCAATTATTATATGAGGTGTGAAAAAATTAGTATCAATTAGTATATAAGGTGTGAACTAATTAGTAGCAATTAGTTATAAAGGTGTGAAAAAATTAGTAGAAATTATTATAAAGGTGTGAAAAAATTAGTAGCAATTATTATATGAGGTGTGAAAAAATTAGTATCAATTAGTATATAAGGTGTGAACTAATTAGTAGCAATTAGTTATAAAGGTGTGAAAAAATTAGTAGAAATTATTATAAAGGTGTGAAAAAATTAGTAGCAATTATTATATGAGGTGTGAAAAAATTAGTATCAATTAGTATATAAGGTGTGAACTAATTAGTAGCAATTAGTTATAAAGGTGTGAAAAAATTAGTAGAAATTATTATAAAGGTGTGAAAAAATTAGTAGCAATTATTATATGAGGTGTGAAAAAATTAGTATCAATTAGTATATAAGGTGTGAACTAATTAGTAGCAATTAGTTATAAAGGTGTGAAAAAATTAGTAGCAATTATTATATGAGGTGTGAAAAAATTAGTATCAATTAGTATATAAGGTGTGAACTAATTAGTAGCAATTAGTATAAAGGTGATATAATAGTGATACGAGATCTCATTGTTAATATTTAAAAAAAAATTTAATTCGTATACGGTGCAAGCGGCTAGAATCATATTTAGAAATAAGAAAGTTTTGAGTTATTCTTAAATAAGCTGTATATGAATGGAACTGGGTATACCTCAAGATAGTGTCATTAGGTCTATTTTCTATTTACTTATAACAGCAGACAACTAAAAATGAAGTTAAAATAGTTATGTTTTCTGATGACACATGTAACAAAATCCTCTCGATCGTTACAAAATTTTGATAGTATCTTTTTATGAAAAAATACTATTAAATAGTTAAAAATCAGATCATGGGAACTTAACGATTATAGTAAACAATTCCAACATAATAATTCTTTATGGTAAATTTACTCCAAAAAAAAAGTCTGATAAACACCTAGGTATTGTTGTAAATGAAGAAATAAAGACTAAAATAATTTTTAGTAGTCGTAGTATGATCGGCTGACACTATCGAAGTTTAGAAGAGTAATGCAAAGGTATAATATGTAGACAAAGTTCAGGCAGGGCACACATATCTTGTGTATAAGAATAGAACCTGTCACGGCCTGCGTCGCTTCGTTATACACGATGCCCCGCGACTCGTACCACCTTTATCAGCCGTCGCCCTACTATGAGTATTTAACTAACCAACACAGCGTATCATACGCCACGGTGCAAAGTCCAGCAAGTGCCGCATGGCCGACAACGATACGTCGCAAATGATACGGTAGTCGTCTTCCTATTGTCAAAGTGACAACGTCGACCAACCGATCCGCACCCGCGCACCGTCGCCATCAATGCTGCTAACCTTTTGACGCCCGAGGATCACACCGGACATGGCGTCGTCGACGCCAGTGAAAGTGCCGCAATATTATGCGAAGATTATTATTATTGTGTTCATTTTTCGGTTTGTTTTACTTTTTGTTAAAATAACCTGTTGTTGCTCATTAATAAACGGCCCACGGGTCTTTACCCTCAAAACCAGTGTCGACCACATTTTTGCGACGTAAGTCGCGTCAAACCTGAAAAATTAGGTGGAGACAAATGCAAGACTCAAATACTTCAGTTTTGTGAAGGAATAATGAATTACGAGGTGCAAACACAAGTACTTCAATTTAACAAGGAAGGTAGCAAACTATGAGATGCAGACCATGTGCAAGACACATATACAAAGCGTACCAGGAGAAAGATATAAATGAGTATAAGGTACAAGATATAAATACTTGAATTAATCAGGAGAGGAAAAAAGTAGGTAAAGGCGTCAAGAATTATCAAACTAACTCTTGCCGTATGGTTGAAAGTCGGACAGTGACAATCGAGAACTGAGACTGACATTTTGACAATTAATCTTGATGAGCATACTGAAGTCGACTGACCAGGGTAGTCAGGTCCAAATGGTTTAAATAGTGTTTAAATGAATGCTTAGTTAAATATTTTTATTTAATTGTGAAGTTATCAGCAGAATTGTTGCTTAAATTTATTATTATATATTATTATATAATACTCCTACTTGTAATCTCTCTCGTGTATTAATGACAAATTTAACCTGCTTATTATGTACTTTACCCGTTAGTGGAAATTTATTTGTTTAAATCAAATGGAATTACCGAGTGCTATTTAATTTATAATTAACTATAGTATTATTAACACAATCACTCTGTTCATTGCGATTAAAATATCTATAAATATCGTTCAAGCTATAAAAGTTTCCATTACGTTTTCTATGATTTAAAATCTTTTCACACTTATAATTAATAATTCTTCGCTGAAAATGATTCGAAATCTAATTATTATTATTATTATTGGTGAAATCAATGAATGTATAATTATAGCCACAAATGGAATTAACCATATCGTTTCTACTCAAATTTACAAACCTGTTGGAAATAGGCCTATTGTAATTTATATTATTAGAGTTCATACTTAATGCTTTTGAAACCGTCTCTGCTAGTATGTCAACTTGTTGCTAGAATTTATCTTTTTTATTTATTTTTCTATATAAACATATATTTTCAATTCTGTTTATACTATCTTCAAGCTTACTTATTGAACTTGTATCCATACATATTAGTTTATCAAAATAAAGATCCGGTAACCCATCTAAAATTATTTCTATCATATCTCCCTCTATGATGTTTTTGTTAGTACTCCTACATTCCGCTTTAACATTTATAAAATACTCTAAAATTGATTTTGTCTCACCATCCTTCTTTCGTTCAATTTCTCTAGTCTCACCCTTTTTTGATTATCGAGTCAAAAAAATTTATCATGAAGAATTTCGCTATTTTCTATTATACAGCATTTCTATTATCCCAAAAATAGCTTGGGCATGATTTTTAAGGGAAAATTATAAATAACAGCATCTCTCTCTATACTAATTAACATGTTTAACGAAGTGAGTAAATGAAAAGACAACGTATAAAAGTAGTATTAAATGTTTTTTCATGGGGCTGTGCTAGGAAGTCGCGGGTTGACAAAATATTATCTTTGCAAAGCTCTCCATTTTAATACCAACTTGTACGATTATGAGATAAATAAACAAGACTCGTAACTTTTAGCTTTTGCATTTTTTTTTTGAAAGGTTCTTGGAACACCTGCATAAACTTTAAATTTGTTTTAGAAAACCACCAAACAAATATTGAATTTTTTTGTTGCATATTTCAAAGTTTAAGTGATATTTATATATAACTTATTATAAGTAACACAATCTTAAGTATAATATATGCTTAAAAAACGTAGTATTTCTGGAATATTTTAAAAAGTGAAGTTAAAATTTTTACTTTTTACATTTTAAAAATCATTATTTTAAACCTCATATTTTAAATAGACGAAGGATATGATTTAAAAATAAGATTGCTTAATAAAAAAGATACTCAAAAAAAAAATTTCTTATTGATTTTGATTTTATTATCTTTGATTTCCTTATTTTTTAAATAATTTTCAACATTTTACGATTTATAAAATTATACTTTTTTGGTGGTTCCTCATTTATAGAGAACGATATTCATTTTTTTTAATTTTGAGAATAATACCTTCAGTTATATACAGTTTTCGATTATTTAACGTATAACTGAGCAAAATCGATCCAGTGAAAATTGAGTATTTGTTATAACAGACACAAAGGAGAATACTTGAAATTTCTAAAATACCTTCGTTGTTCTAATTATTGGTTAATGTATAAATTGTAAAATAAAAATAATAGGTTATGTATTTTTACAAATAATTGTAAACTATCAACATTTTTCTAAGCTAATAATATTTGAATCACCAGACAAACTCTCTTTATTTTGAATATTATTGGATGATAGGTAGTAAATCTCGTTCAACCAAAATTCCCTTGAGTATTACCGCAAGGAAATAAAATGAAAAATTGGACCCTAAAATTTTGCCTTTTGATACTTTGGTACACAATAGGCGAAATACGCATTCAAAAATCTCTACTAAAATATTTTTTTCAGTACCACTTTTGGTATGCGGTTAGTTTATTACACCTAGTGTATCACTGTATACGCCATGAGTTTAAAAATACAAAGTCATCTTAAACGTCTTGAAATGCTCCATAAAAAAAAATACATCAACGAAAAGAGGATATGCTTAAAAATTAAGAACCAAGAGTTATTGTTTATCGCTTAACTGAAACATTTGTCAAACTTCAGATTTACCAATAAAAACAATGTTCTTAGAAACATGAAAAAAGAATTCAGTGAAATCTAAAACAGTTATGAACATACAGTGGTTTTTATCTTCTTTGTATTCAAAATTATTATTAGTCTACAATTTTTTAAATAACTAGTAGATATTGTAGTATTGTAAATTTTCTCGTGAAGGTTTTAATAACGAACAGTTAAATAATAAATAAAATACTTTTATAATAACTTTACGTAGTTTGAAATTTTATATATAAAAATACGAGCAATGTTATGAATAATAGTCATTAGTAAATAAATTTTAAATGTTGTATAATTATGAAGGGCAAGTGTGGTAAAATATAATAAAATATATAACTGTAAATATAATTTCTGAGCAAATTTATATTTTTTTATACCTATAATTTTCAATTTTTAATCTAAATAAATATATATCTAGAATTTACAGAGAAAAAAATAATTTATAATAATTTATTCACATAACCTAAATTATTCTTAATACTGATTATTTCTTACCGGGATTATCGGAATGTTCTAAGCAGCCTGATTGATGAATGCCCGTGGCAGTTGAACATTCACAACGGCCTGAACCCCCACTACCACTGACAGGACCCTCTTCATTGCTACCAACCGAATCCTCGGGTGATCTAGACACCTCAGTGATCTCGTTAGTTTCACTGTTTTCGAACGAATCTCTATTTTTAAGTTTCCGGCGGCTCCTGATGGATGACTTTTTAAAGAAATACAAGAGAAAATATCGTAAGTGTTAAATAGTTTATTAACTAAAACATGTTAAAATCGTGTGTTATGTTTTCTTTAAATGCACACATACTTACCTTGTCTCTACTTCCTTTTTTCTGAGGTGTTCGTAAAAACATAAATAAAAATCACGTTATTTTCCCGTCATTAGGAATTTTAACGATTTTTGTACAACACACATCATTTATTTAAATAATATATCAAAACACATTGAAAAATAAATTTTTTATTTTTTATTCAAACATACTTGTAACGAGAATCTTCTGTGTGGCAATTTTTTACCACCTCTTCGTTTTGATATATGCGGGTTTCTCTGACATATCGACTTCATTTTCAACATTTCCATTTGTCCGTAAATCCGCCTCAGTTCTTCCTGTCGGTTCATTGATACATAAAGATTAAACCAATATAAAAATAGATATAACATAAGTAAAAGGTAATTTCAGTAAAATTCAATCTAAACTTACTCTTATCTCGTTTGGGTTCATATCTGAAATGCTAATTTCAGTTAAGTCCACTTCAGCTACATCAGGTTTCAGAGTTTCCAAAAGTTCCTGATTTAAAGCGGAACGTTTGTTTTCAGCGTTTACTTGTTTTTGGAACCATATCTAAAGTAAAAAATTGCACAGAGTGATTCATTAATGATATTACCCACCTTTTTTTCATTATATAATGATTTTTTCATAAAAATTTCTTAATAAACATTTTATGAACTATAGAAAATATTAATTTTATTAAAAGAAAAAAATATTTCTAAGAGTATATTTTAGGAGTAACTTCGGAAAGTTAAATGAAAATCAATTATTATTTCTACATTAAATGGCAAATTAATTTAATTAAATTTTGACTAGCCGATAACCAGTTTTGTATTATTATTTTTCAAGTTAATATAGAGGGTGTTACGAATGATGAGAATATAAATGAGAGATAGTAAAAGTATTTTAAAAATTTACCGAATGAGTACTATACAAGAGATAATTTAGAAAATAATTTGTAGAACGAAGGACTCATAAGACTCAAGGACTCATTAATAACTCATGTGATTTAAATTAGTGAAAGGGAGGTATGATAGACTGTGAGATTAATGAAAAAGAATAAAACAGTAGAACCTGATAAAGTTCCAGTGAAAGTGTGTAAAATTATAGGGGATATTAATGTGATAAGGGGCATAAGATGATTGAAAGATTTGGAAAAAGATAAAAAATAGATTAATAAGAAGTGAAGTATCGGCAACTAAAAACCAATTTGGTTTTTACCTAAAAAGTCAACAATAAAACCATTATTTTATGTGAGCCAGCTTTTAAAAAAGTATAGAGAGAAAAAGAAAAAGCTTCGTATGGTGTTTAAGATTGTGTTATAGATTTGTAGAAGGGGTATAACAGATTGTCGAGAGAGGTTTTAAAGTGGGCGTTAATGAAAAAAGAACTGCCAAAAATATGTATTGATGTAATTGAGGATATACAGGGTGGCCCACCTCTCACTGACAACTTAAATAACTTTTGATCCAGTTATTATTTTTAGCTGATTTTTTTTTTAAATAATAGTTATACGTTAGGTCTATAGCTATATCTCAATAATTAATTTTTTTACATTTTATTAAAAATATTAATTATTTTTAAATTTTTAATAAAATGTAAAAAAAAAATCTAAGATAGCTATTTTGTAGAGTAGAATTTAAGAAAAATTTTAGTAAAAAAATATCTTATTAATATTCAGTAGTAAATATTCTGTAGCGTTTTGAAGTTTGTGAAAATTTGAATTTTCATGTATTATTTTACGGTATTAAACATTGAAATACGTATTGAGAAAAGGACAGAAGAAAACGCTATCTTTTCATGATTACTGTGTATACATATGATGATAGTGTGTATACATTACAAACTTGGCATAAATACCATGATAACAAATTAGATAAGGCAATTATTACTTATCACTCTCATTCAAAAGTATATTGAAAAGATAGCGTTTTCTTCTGTCCATTTCTCAATACGTATTTATATGTTTAATACCGTAAAATAGTACATGAAAATTCAAATTTTCACAAACTTCAAAACGCTACAGAATATTTACTACTGAATATTAATAAGATATTTTTTTACTAAAATTTTTCTTAAATTCTACTCTACAAAATAGCTATCTTAGATTTTTTTTTTACATTTTATTTAAAATTTAAAAATAATTAATATTTTTAATAAAATGTAAAAAAATTAATTATTGAGATATAGCTATAGACCTAACGTATAACTATTATTTAAAAAAAAAAATCAGCTAAAAATATTAACTGAATCAAAAGTTATTTAAGTTGTCAGTGAGTGGTGGGCCACATTGTATATGAAGAGTGAATGTGTCAAACGTTCTATGTGCCAAAAACATATTTGTTCAGAAAACACAAAAAACAATGGTAGCATGGGCATGTCTCACATATCGAACACCATCTATGAATGCAATTCTGTACAAGTAAAAAATTTAATTGACATTTGAAACACATACAAGATTGTGGCCTTTGGCACATAGAACGTTTGACACATTCACTTTTTATATATATGAAGCCATTTGTACTAAGGTAGAAAGTGTGTATGGAGAAATAGAAGATTTTGGGGCAATAGTAAGTGTAAAAGAAGGCTTTGCTTTTAGGAGTAGCATCGATCGTAGCATAAGATAAAAGAAAATAGGCTTAGAATATTTGGTCATAACATCAGAAGAGAGAAATCGGAAGCTATAATATCGTTTATGAAAACGAACGTTGAAAAAAGAAAGAAAGAGTAAGACCGATAAAGAGGTGGTTGGATGTAATTGAGTGTGATATGAGAACTTTCGATGTGTGTATAAATTATGTGTGCCAAATGGAGGTTTAGGGTACAGGTGATCGAGCCCAAGTAGTTGGGATAAAGGAGAAGGCGAAGAAGAAAACTTTCTGATTTGATTTATAAATTTTAGTTGTATGTGATAGAGGACAATAACGAAAAATTCGTATAGTAAAAATAGAACGTCACTAAATACCACCCAGCTTTTATAAATCTTTAATATATCAAAATGTAATATTACAAAACTGGTTATTAATCGGTCAAAATTTTTTATCTCCATATAATAGAAAGAAAATTATAATATATTTCGATTGAACTTCCGAAAGTTACTCTTTAGAGAAATAATATTTTCTTGCAATAAAATTAATATTTACTATAGTTGATAAAAATAAATAAACTTTTACCTGTACATTTTATTAAAAAAAAGTTATATAGCAAAAATTAGAGGAAATATTCTTAATAAATCACATTATATACTAAGGTAGTCTTCCAGAAATTTTCTCAATAAATTTACCTTAGGCATAAATATAACGAACAGTGTAAATGTGTTGGTCAATAGACCCCGAATAACCGCAGCCATGAATAACAGGTCTGGGAAAAATAAAGCAGTGGGATACAGTGAGCGGAATGTATAATAAATTGAACTGAATACTGTTTCAGACACTATCGCATAAAACAAGTACCGTCGTTCGTCAAAAAGTACATGAGCATTTCGAGCTGACAATCCATAGTGTATGCCTACTAGAAGTACCATAAGTTCACCTAAAATAGTATAAAAATAAATTGTCAATTTTTTTTTTAAGTCTTATGTACATATTTTATTTATTTTCCATTAAGTTTCTATACGAATTATATTACATATAAACTCTTGATTAAAACTAATAATTTCTTTTAATTATTTAAATATATTATAAAAGTTATTTTATAATTTTTCTTCATTCTAAATGTCTCTATTCGACAATCGTAAAATTATAAATTATTTTATATACAAAAACGTTAGTTTATTTTTATATAGATTTCAATACATAGTATTACTATAGTTTATTCGATAATTATCTTTTATAACTATATTATTTTTAAAGGACAATTTGTAGAACTGGAGTAAAAAGTTTTTAATATTGTATGAGGATCGACCCCGAGACGATGAGGTACAAAGACTGACGTCATACCAATGTCGTCTAAAACGTTAATTAATTAGTTGAAAGTTCAACCTTAGTTAAAAGAATGATTATACATAGATACGTATTAAGAGTGTATAATGGAATGTAGTAGTTTAATTAAAACATCAAAAACAAGTCTTCATCGTACCAAATTTTCAAAGAGAATTTTGTTTGAGAGTTACAAATTAAAATATTCAACAAATGCGTGGAAAATAAATGTTAATGCATATCTATGAAATTATCTTTTTAAGGTTTTCTAAAATGATCTAAAATCTTTTGCTTTAAAATACTAAAATTATTAAATTTATGTTAATCATTTATAATCAATAACAATTAAAACTGAAATATTTATTACAAAGGTACAAGTTAATTAATTACATTATACATAGTATAAATTAAAAAATAGTAACTTTATGAAAGTAAAAATTATATTATTGCACTTATTTTTAGAACTTTATCGAAAGCTGTTTCTTTTTTTTTGTAATTATTTGCATAAATCTAATAGAACTTCCTCGTTTTAAGGTCTCCTTAAATTTAATTGTATTTACCAAAGAATATTATTTTCTCTTCTACAAAAATTTGTTTATAACTAAACTGCAAGAGTTTTATATTTTCTATTTATAATTCCCAACAAACGTTATTACCAACATTAAACATTAAACTTAATGAATGGTTATCATCATTCTTGTTAACGTTAATTAAATATTATTAATTAATATTTATTTGAAGCTAAATAATATTTTAGCTGCAGAGATTAATTTAATATGTATAGTTCTTGAAAGTATCACACAAAGGTGAAAATGTTTCCAGGGGTTAATAACAGGTTGACAAACATCGTATAACTGTCAAGAAATTTGAAAGAGAAAATAATATAAGAAAATATTCAAAAGTAATTTAATTACTTTTGATGTAAACAAAATTTTATAAGAAGTAGAAAAAACAATTTTGATTTGTGATTTAACTAGATTGTTGAAAGATATGCTATGCATACAATACACACTAATGTTGTTTCAAAAAACAATTTAAGAGAGAAATCCGTGTGTTAACAAAAGCTCCGAGTGTTTCTTTCAATATATAAAATGATTATGTCCATCAAATGAAACGATCACGTACATATTATTAAATAACTGATTCATTAGAACCACAATTTCTATTGAAATTCATTAAATTTAGACTGCTGCATTCCGATATATTTATTCTTTATAAGTTATTTAATGTTTAAATGAATAATATTTGATTAGTATTTTAGTATAATATTTATTTAAACTTCATGTATGTATTTTCGGCCATTACAATTTTAAGATGTCAATACGAATTATTTTTAAAGTATAATAAGTTATATATAAAAGTATATTTTTTTAATTAAAAAGAGTTATATTCACATTAAAACAAGAATCAGATTTTCATCGTTCCTTAAAGTTTTTAACTGTATATTAGTGGGTCTGATCAAACAGCAATTTTCCAAAGTCAAAATTTTTTTTTTCAATAACATTTAGCAATCAAATTTTAATTGGCTTCAACTTTTCCGACAAGAACAATAGCATGTTTGGGTCCAATTATCGGTTTAAGCTAATAAACCAAATTCTGATTTGGATAATTTATTACCATCATATAAAGAAAAAATGTTATATAGGGTAAGTTATTAATTTTAAATATTTTGTTAAATAAACTTTTTAATTAATGTGAGGTGTGAAACAAAGTTACGACGTTAATAAAGTCAGAGTATGTTCCACACTAGTGGTTTGTGGAGTGTAATGGAGTAGGAAGTAAGAACAAAAGTAATTGCTGGTATATTAAACTAGAATAATATATTACATTTTAAGAATAACTTATTTTAAGTGATAAGAATATAAATGCAAGTAAAATTTTATTTGTGTAGGTAGCCTATATATTTTTTATGTAGTCAGAACGAAATTTTTATCTAATGTAAGAATAAAAAAAATTATGGTTTCGGGATGTTATTTTATAAAAAAAATTATCATATTAATAAACATTTTTTTTTTATAGAATCATTCTATTAAAATGATTTATGTAGGACATTTGATGGCACAAGATAATTAATTGTACATAAGTATAATTTATTTTTCCTCTTATAAAGTTATAGTAGAGATTCACTTCTTTATTTTCAAGCAATCGTGTAATGAAGCAGAAGAGTTTAGACAGACGAGGTAAAAATTTTATATACATATAAAACCTATTCATTGGACTAACTTAATAATCAGCTTGTAACTAAAATGAAATACTTCATTGATAGTCAGGGTCTTTCATTACTAACTCCGGTTGAAATGAATTCTATATAAATGAGACATGACAAGTAATATTGATTCAAATTCAGTGGGTTCCAAAAAAAGGAAATGATATTACACATTAATCATTAAACCCAACGTCGTTCGTGGGAAAAGGGATAATCAATAAAATATTTAAGTTTTACTATAGCAGAACGCATACCATTTTAACGAAATTCAAATATGATCAATAATTTTTAAATTCCCAGAAATGTTTTTGGTTTTTATTTATAAAATAATCTATTTGATAGATTATGTTTGGGGTGCGCTTCTTTATAATTTAATATCAATACTATACACTTATGATAATGTTTTAGATTTAAACGCACAAGTATTATTTTAATAACTAATACAATGATGAATAATGCTAACTATATCAATTTGGCAAATTTACTCAATACCGTTATTGTACATAACTATTAATTAAGACATTGATAAAATATTTTGAGGAAAACATATAAGATCTCTAAAAAAGTAAAAAACTAAAAGTTAACTTTTAGTTCAACTTTTTATGGATTTTTTAAAATTACATCGCATAGTGGTATTATTTTTCAATCAATGTAATTTTTTATTATGACTTCTTCAAACAAAAAACAAATCAACAAAAATGGTCTAGAACTACACATTTCAAAAGGTTCTTTAAATTTTTTTGACTTCTAAAAATAATCGTTTTCAATAGCTTTTAGCTTTAAAATCATTTCGTTGAGCACATTACCTTTTTAGCTATGGATAAATGGATAAAAATAAAAAATAAAACTCTTAAATGTTTTATAGTTGAATAAACTAAAAATGTTTGCCTTAGTATAGACAAGTGATCCAATAGTCGACAAACATTGGAAAAACAATAATGGTCAGTCAATAATGTTTGCATGAGCGCTTACGCCAGGTAAAGTTAAAGGTAAATATAAATTGTTGTTTATAAGACGTATGTCTAACGGGATTTTTTCATCAACTATGAGAAGTAAAACGATATTGATTATACGTTAACTTGTAGTCGGTTGTCTTGTTATTTTACTTCCTATCGTATTTGATTCGTAAGCATAAAGAACGGTAGTCGTACAGGTAGGTGGTAAGAGCAGATGTTCCATAATTGAATGAGTTTGCTGCTACGAATTGACAAGTTTATATGGAAGGTTTATCTTGGAGTGGTTCAATAGGGCTTTTGTACAGGAATGCCGCACGTGTCTTTTTTTACAACCTTTAGGTCACACTTCGAGCTCGTCAATAGACATTGATACGTATTTGATTTATGCAAACACCAGTGCAAGAGTAAAATGCCTTAGTAACAGTGTTTACTATCAAAATGTAAAGATATTATGAATAGAAAATACAGTTTTTAAAATCAATTTATTCATAAAAAATCGGGATCAAAATTTATGCAAAAAGTATAAATTAACTACTCGTCCCGGTCAATATATTTCTTAATGATTGGATCACAGAGCATTTTAGATATAGTAAAAATATTATCAAGATGGACGGAAATTACAGCATTACTATCGACAAGCGTGCAGAAAAAACAGCAATAAATGAAAATATATTATGAGTTTCTCGTATTCAACAGAATTATACAAACTGTGTACACTCAAGTTGCCATACAATGGCTGCTTCATCAGGCGCACGTGTATACTCTATTAATATTCAAAAGACAAGTTTGAAATAGGTTCAAAACTAGTACGTGATCTCTGCAACGAAAAAAACTCGACCGAACAAGGTGGCAATAACAATTAGGTTAACTGGGTAAACTATATTCACCCTGAATTATTTAATTTTTATTATATCAAATTTTAGTTTCTGATAAACTAGTTTGTGCTGAAAATAACTAACTGACTTACAATATATATTACAAAGTTTTTTAAAGTGTTCATTTAATCTATGCTACTCCAGTCGGTTCAGTTGCCACAATGTTCTTTTTTCTTTTAAGGTACACAAAAAGACTAAATATTAAAGCAGTCCATATATTATTTAATTTTAATAAAGTAATACGTGTACAAATTCTATCCTCCGTACACATTTAAAAAATATGAATGTTTAATATTCTAGTTGTATAAATGTATAATAAAATAAAACAATACACATAATAATATTATGAAAACTTTTTATGTTTTTAGACAAGCAATAAAATGTTTCACTTGTGAATCTTTTTCGATTGAATAATGTATACTCCTCGTTCATAATACAAATATATCTAAGATTTTATTAAATCTTTCATGGATTGTCGTATTATTTAGAATATTTTTATGTACAGGCGGAACAGATCTAACTCTTATAACTTTTCATACAATTCAAAAATTCGTTGTAATTATTTTTCACAATTTTTACATTCTTAGACTACCGTTAAATAGGCCAAGTTGGGGCGATTAAATAGTTTACAGATTTCATCACTCAAATTCTCATGAACAAATATTTTGTATATCATAACAATACTTGTAACATTTTATTTATGTTGTAGATTGATACTAATATAATGATAATATATATATTTAACAGTCTCGAGTTTTATTACTGTCCCAAATTAGCCCATTTGACTTCTTTAAAAGCATATCTTTTTATTATTTAATTTTAATAATTAACAAAATAAAAAATTTATTATTTTTTTTATTTTTACAACATATTAAAATAACTGATGTTTAGAGCTTTTCCTTCAGAAATTTGGATGGGTCTATAACAACTTTAGGATAAGTACTTATTGATTTACAAGAATTTTAATGTATAAAGTGTGTATGTAGTGCCAATTGGTACAGCTTGTACTGATGTATATTTATAATCCATTGTACATAACCACTCTATGTATTAAAATGTTTTTTACTCAATAAGTACTCATCCTAAAGCTATTACCATCCCATCCAAATTTTTTGTAAGAAAAACTCTAAAGAGAAGCTTTTTAAAATTGTGAAAAAATTAAAAAATTATTTTTTTGTTTATTGTTATAAATGAATAATAACAAATATGATTTTAATGTAGTCTAAGAATACAAAGATTGTAAAAAATATAATTACAACGAAATTTTAATTGTATCAAAACTTATAAGAGTTGTCAGAGTTATTCCATTCTGTATATCTATGTCTTCTTTTTTGTACTGACGTTTCGACTCGTTGTAGAGTTCATTTTTAGAGCGATAGTTGCAGATTGGAAATTGCCATTATAGAGTTAGCCTCGGTTGTTTTCTATTTTTTTATATCAGGTGAACAAACAATAACTGATAACGTCAATATTTTTGTTATAATAACAATAACTATCTGATTGTTATGAATGTTGTTTTTGTTTAGATTTGTTATTGTTTTCAATACTCTTAGCATTTTACTGTTCCTTTTCTAAACTATTAATTTTCAGATATGTCGATTATAGCTTTTTTACATATTGTGTGTTTTCTATGTTATTTGTGTTCCTTTTATCTTATTATATAATAGGTAACCAAGTTTTGGTAATTTCCCATCCGCCTTGACTCTTATAATTTTTTTAACTTTTTCAATTTTTATTGCTTCCTTTTACATTCGTTTACCAAAATGTGATTCTTTATCAAAATTTTGATCTTTCCAAACTGAATTTCAAGTCCACTATTTTTGGCGTATTCGGTTACCGCCGATTTTTCTATCCTTTGCTATCTGACGTTTTTTTCATATTCTTTTACTTTTGTTATATTTGTTCTTATTGTTTGTCCAATGTATGTCTTCCCATAAAAACACTGTACTTTATAGACACTCGGTGTTTGCATTTCCGATAATTCGTCTTTCAGGATTCGAATTAATGTTCCTATTACTGTGTTTAGTTTGTAGATAGTTCTTATTCCGAATTAATAATAATTCTTGAGATACGATTTTTAATTCTATGTATGCACAACGATATTGCAGTTTCTTTCTTATCATCTTCTTTATTTTTATCTTTGTTGTTACATACTAAGTTTCTTTTTCTTTCAGATTTTCTTAATGCTTTGTATACATTTTTAATTATTTTGAAGCCTTATCGCAGATATTTTATTTCTTCTTTTACATGTCCGTAAAGCTATTTTTACAACTCTTATTGTCATTGTATGTAGTAATTCCATTTTCTATGTAGAACAGTGGCGTGAATAGGCATATAGGTATCGGTCGATGTGTGTGCTTTTTTTATACACATCTGATCTGTGTCGAATTTACTAATTCGGCTGTTTCTTGAATAATATGTCCAAGAACGATAGCCACATTTTTAGTTTTTGACCATATGTGCTCATTACTTCGTCTTCAAATCATTTAATGAATATATTATTGCGAAAAATGGTGCCAACGTTGATCCCATTGGCATTGAAAAAATAATTTTCCACCTTTGTTCTTCATTGGGTGGTTAATTGAAATACAATGTATCGTGAGTTCTTTATCTCTGCATTTCTTTATTAGTTTTAGATCTTATAAAAGCATATTCTTTTACTGAGATAAATTGTCCCATCAAAGAGGACGTGAAGAAATGAACACATAAATACATCACTAAATATTTTTCATGGGAAATAAACTTATTTTTTTTTAATTTTTCAATAGGAACAATTTGAACGAATACATATTTCATAATATTTTATAAATACATATTTATACATTATAGACCACAAAATTCATTTTTAAGATAACCATAAGGGTCATCTTAACATAACGTTAATATATGGTCTTTGACCTAATATAAAAATAAGTTAAAATTTTTATATAATCGTTGCTTAGCTTAATAGCTATTTTAAAGGGATACAACAGCATGTCGTTTGGATTTACGTGGCTATAAATGAAATAATAACTGATTTTGCAGTTTTTCATCGTTATCCATAGTTTTATTATGGGTTTTCCGGTATAATGGCTAATAAATCGCAATTCAATTTGATAAATTCTTTCCACCTCTCCTGTGGTATAAACCCATTAAATCTGCTATCATTTTGCGTCTCTATAGTCATTTTAAACCTAATGAAAAACTGTCAATCAAATAACTCCAAGCTATTATACAAAGCCTATCAGATTTAAAATGCATTATGTTCAGATTAGTCCTCTAAATCTCTATTGAATTACAGTAGTATTTATTTATTTATTTTTTTGGGAAAAAAGTAGAACTTGAAACAATTAGTAAGGACCTAGTGATTTTTCGTAATAAATCAATGTATTTTTAATTGAAATAGATTCTTAAGTAGTAATTTCTTTTTAATTTTTATATATATTTATTTTAATCATTCTATACTTAATAGATATCGACGTTAGTTAAATGTTTTAATTGAAACTTTTTCATTGTCAACTAAAGATAAGACTAGTGTTTGTGGTTTTACTAAACAGCTTTAGAGTTCTTATTTTGTTTTATGAATTATTTGTGTTTAAAATTTTTTTACCTGTCTCTGTAATGTAATTCCACCATTGAGGTTTACACGTTTTGAATTTGTAACCGTCGTTGGTCACGTTTATGACAACTAGGTGAAATCCTTCGCTAAAGAAGTTTAGGCTAGCGGCAGTCCATGCGGCTAAATAAACAATGACGGCTACAATTGCTGAAGACAAATATCGAAGCAGATCCTTGTCTCTTACTGTCCAGCAATGAGCTTTTCTTGTGCGAAATTGCATCAAGATCCTACAAACAAAAGACAAAAGTCATTAAAAGGTGATAATATCCATAATAAGACAATAAGACAATATCCAGTGTGTATAGTGAATCACAAAGCTTAAGTGTCATAAAAGTCATATAATAAAATTGATAAAGTTATGCAATATTTGAATTTGATATATCTGTTTATAATTTTCATTCTTGTTAAAAAAAAAAATCATTAGTGTCCGCACCTGTACAACTTTAGATTGATAGCACCATAACATATGACAAATCCAATTTCTCGTAACCATGGTAACAACAGACATGTCACAATTGAAGGTTCAAAATATTGGACGACCACCTATAAAGATTTTTTATTAATGTAATGTTTTAGTAACTTTATTTTAATGTCAGTAAATATTTGTGAACTTTGAGAAAAAAGAAGTTTCTTTAGTATAAAGTTACAATGTCTCATTAGTATAATAAAACATTGAGCTTATAGTTAGCTAAGGTGTAATAAAAGTTGTATAAATGTTACATAATGAATATTTTTTATTTTTTAAAGAATAAGTGACTGACTGTACAGTTTGATAATATCAGGTAACCCCATGTTGCTTATATTTTAATTATTACAAGAAAATAATATTCAATTATCTATTCATTTTGCAGTACAAAGAAAAAAAAATTTTATATTTATTTTTAATTAATTTTTTGTCACAAATAAATAGTAGTGAACTAGTTTTTAAAATTAGTTAGCTATTTTCGCACTACTTTTAATTAACAATATTAAGGGAAAATGATATGAAAACTAACAGTTTTACCATTATTTGTATTATATTAATAATCATAGTCACTACATTTTATCTAATTTAATCAACTGTAATTAATAGTACATTGAGGAATCGCCTATTTATTTACAAGCGAAGTTGATTCAGTAAGAAGTACGCACACTAGACCTATAACTTAGCAATTCTTTCTCAATTCTGTAACAACTAAAACTAAATCTAAAATCTACGAATGTAACTAAAGAGAATAATTAAGAACAGTTGAATCTTATCGTCAAGATTTATAACTATAATAATTTGGGATTTTTTTTTAAAGATCCTAAGGATACCTGTGTAATGGGGCAACATTTTTAAAATATAATATTTCTATGCAGCATATATAAATATTAATTTTGTTCACAGTTTGTTAGATAGACTTGGTAAAATTACTATAAATTATTAATATGTATGAAGACATTAGAGGAAAATTATAGGACATGAAAAACAAATAAGTACAATATTATAGTGACTTGGTCATTGCCCTTAATACTTCATAAAAGTATAAATTATTTTATACCTTTTTTAATAAATTAGATATGTTTACTTTTAATGATAAAAGTGTAGTTTTTCATGAATTATTAAACTAAAACTGCAAGAAATGTTTATTTCAGTCAAAATTTTGACTAAACACAGACATCTCATTTTTTTATATTTTAATATGTATTTAGCAAATACTACGAAAGAAAGAGAAAAAATGAAATTCAAAATAAAAAATTAAATAATTTTATGCCAAGGTGGTAGGAGCGTTACTTTGATAAAATATTAATTATGTTATTATCTCAATAATATTTAGTAGTAGAAATCGTAATAGTGTACGATTAATTTGCTGTTTCATGATGTAACCACAGGCTATATAAAAAAGTAATAAGTAATTAAATATTTAAAATGATATATCATATTCGTGAGTTAAGGGTAGTGTTACGTTGCTATTTAGGGGTTGAGCCTAAATGCCCGTCAATAGTATTCTAAGGAACCTACAGGGGATAGCTGGCTAAGCTATACCTACCTTAGGTACTGAGGTTTCCTATTTAATTTATATTCCCTTAGAGGAACTATCAAGAGTCGCACTACAATATATATATATATATATAACACTCTTGGTTAACAACGATATAATATTTATTAATAAAGAAATATTAAATACACAATACAACCAGCTGGACACCTAAAGATGATAATAATCTAACAGGGAGCTGTCGACGACACCACACACTATTTCCGTAGCTAATTAAGTTAAATATAAGACAAAAGAGTAATGGTCGCGATGATGGTAAAAAGTCAACTGTTGTTTGAGATATTAGTATTATAGCACAGTGGTCGTGAATTCCAAATGTGTTTATGTGTACAGACTTCCTTCCGTAGTAATACGTGTGTCACTGTGTCAACGTTATAAGCCTAGTCGGCGGTACAATAATACTTTGAGATATGATCACATATATGTGACCGTTTCACTAGAGAAGTTACCAAAGAGTATTTTCGAGAATACTTTTTGAGTAACGTCAATAATTTTGAGAGTACTTTTCTGCAAATAATTACTGGAAAATAAAATATTTAAAAAAATTAGAACCAAATAATTTTTTTATGAATATATTATCAAACGTGAAAATTATTTTGCAGTAATAAATATTTACTAAAAATGTATGTACTTCAGTTAAATATTTTTTTCATAATTATCGTTAGTTGGGCTCAATTTGGCCGTTAGGTATAAATTTAGTCACTTCTAAATATAACTCTAAAGTGTTTGTAAACTTGAAAACTTAAAATTAGATAATTTTTAGCATTTTTAGCTTGCGATTGTTCTTAATATTTCACATTAAAAAATAATTTGAATTATAAATGAGAAGATAATAGACATATCTAAAATTGACACGATATACTTTAATTTTCCATTCCAATCCGAAAAATATGTAAGATAATATTTTAAATTACTACTACGAGAAATTTTGATATCAACGACAAACATGATAAAAATAAAATATAAAATTTGACTTACTTCTAAGTGCAAGATAATGGTTCCTATTATTATAGTTTCTAACAAAGTCCACATGCTTGTAGCGATTGTCTGAAAACAATAATAATAATAGTTTTAATTTTAAAATAAATTTATATTAAAAATAAAATAAAGCATAATAATAACATGCCAAACAGATTTGAATTTAATTTTAGTATCAGTAAAGTAACACAAGTTTAATCGCAAATTGAATGAATTTATATAAGATATTATACATTGTTTAAGGTCACCAGTTTTGAACAAATAATAACTCAATTAAGTTTGAAACAATATGCACTCGTGTATTATTAATAAGATTAGGAATTAAGTAAAACAGAATTCAGGATTATGTAAAAATAATGAAATGAGATTCTTAACAAAAGCTTGAAGTAATGAAGTATTCGAATTTTCATAATAAAATTTGAAGTATTTTAAAAATATTATTGAAATCAATTTGAACATTTTGTTTTTAAAATTAAGACAAGCCAAGTAAATACTTTTTTTTTAATGAAACTCAAGTATATTATTTCTATTGTAAGGTTACACAAATTATAATTATAATAATTAAGGTTCATAATTTATGTAAATAAAATGTGTTATTTATATGCTATAATAAGCACTTAAAAAGACCAAAAAAATGAAAATTTTTAGTTTTTCACTTTTTGAAAAACTAAACTTTTATAATTATCTTTAAATATACATATCAGTAATTTTTTAACAATATCAAATTTGTTAGATTTTCTTGTGTGTTGTTAATGCTCATAATTAATGGATCACTTGGCATATTTTAAGTCAAGCAATTGTCAGAGTAATAAATTAAATCGTTAAATTGAATTATCGGTAGAATGAGCACAACTGCTGTGAATTTCTAGAACATCCGTCCCACGATTATATTAATTATTCTGTAGTAATAACTATTCAAATTCAAGAGCTATATAATTCAATTTGAATGACCATATCAACAACACTATAATTATTTGAAGATTTATGGTGTTTTCAATTTCATTTTAGTTTCATATAAGAAATCGAGTGACAACTAACAAAATTACTTATAGTATTATTGTACTTCTATAGGTGTTATGGATTATAAAAAAAGTTTTTCAATTAAAAATCCTTTTAATATGTTAATATAAATAAGTATACAGAAAATATTTACATGAAAGCTATTTGATATTCAATATGACACATTCAGTTACGTGTTTTTTTGTTCTTGGTCACTTTAGGGAAAATATTTATTATTTTATTTTATTTATTATTTTTTATATATTATTTAAAATATTTTATTAAGCCGATCACTGTATAACATTTTTGCTTTAGTTGGTAACAACTTCTAACAGTTTTTATAACAGCTACACAAATGTTTATGTGAAATTGAAGAAAAGAATTTTGCTTTTCCGTAGACGATTCCTAATCAGGATTATGAATTTTATATCTTTTTTGTTGCAATTACAGAAAATGCCTCGTGTCACTAAAATATACGTTCATCATCCTTTGTTTTTTTTGTGTCGGTTTTGAGTTAAATATTTGTCGCAGATTATATTATTAAGAAAAATTACACATCTTTAATTATTATCTCTACAAACTTATTTTGGTTTTCTTAGTATTAAATTAAATAATGGTTCCACATAGTAAAATAACAATTGTATTCGTTAATGTTTTATTATTTTTGTTTTGGAGTCACTAAGAAAATTTTATTTTTTTGTTTATGACACAATAAAAAGAATTTCTTCGAATTGTTGATCTCGGAAGATTGCATAAATATAAAATTAGGTAAAATATATTTTTTATGTTTTTTTAAATCAGTAAGCGCATTATGAATCGAACTCACAGAAAATTAAAAATTACACATCAGTGACATAAATAACAAGATGAATATTAATAAAGTTATTTTTAGTGAGACAAAGGATTATAAATAATAACTTCTTCTAAAAAATTTGAATTTATTTTTGCACACTATGTGATATTTATTTTGTTTAATAACAAAAACAATTTTAATATAAATAAGTCACTCGCTGTGAACCGTTAACAGCTGAACTCACATTATGACAGTTATGTATAAAAAATAAAAAACAGTACAGCTGAAAGATGGTGAGAATTCAGCAGAGAACTTTCTATATAGATTAAAATTTGACAATGACTAACAAGACAATCGTAAAGGGTGGTTTCGATGCAATTGTTTATATACAGCCGGCCAAAATTATTAGATCACACAATAACTTTAAGATTTTTTTCAAATAAGATTTGATATCTTGTTGGTTTATTAAATATTATTATAATATTAACAAACATGATTGCTGTAGATTCAAAGAAAAAATAATTCACCTGCAAAAAATTATCGACAGAAATTTTAATTCGAATTTCTTTGGTGATCTAATAATTTTGGCCGCCAGTATACAAAAATTGTAGAAAAATAAATTGAAACTGAAATTTGATAAATTTTCACTATGGTTGCTGTTACTTAAAGAAAAAAGCTGTCATAACATTTATTTTTTAATTTAAAAGCACACTATAAGAGCTTTATTTGGTTTAGGTTTAAAAAATACAATTATTCTGGACACATTATTATTATCACTTAAATAAAGGACTATTTTTATGTATGAATGCTGTTATGTTAAAACAATTCTTGTACTTAAGGTTTTGATTAGATTTTAATAAAATGAATATTAAAAAAATATTTATGTCTTTAGTATCGAGGATAAAATTTTCATGTTTTTAAACGTAAAATCTCATTTTTCTTCTTTTAATCTTAAATTACATTAAAAAAATCATTCGATTTAGTTTTTAATATTATAGATGTTCCATTGTTATGCAAAACACTTAAAAATCAATAGGAAAGTGACATAGTTGGGACAAACATAGATGATAGTAATTAAAGCATTATCATAAGAAACGATTCGATGCAAATCTATAAGTTATGTTTCATTCTAAGAAATTAGTAGATAATTACAAAAGCTACATCAACTCCTATTTCCTAAATTATATTAATTATTTAAAAAATAATATTTTACTCCTTTTATTTGCGGAATAATTTAATTGAAAAGAAGTTTTTTTGAAGTTGTCAATTTATACAGATGCGTAATTTTGAGATATTTGTCTATATTTCTAGGATATTTTTCATTATTATAAATCGGTTTTTTTTACGTAATGATCTTTAAATATGATTCAGAAACAGCTGAGAATTTTTATGGACTGGCAAAAAAAAAAACGCACAGCATCACAAGACCAATACCTTTTTAGTTTCACAATAAAACTAATAAAAAGAACTACCAAAAACTTGTTTAAAAAAATCACTCAATTGACCGTATAATATAAATTGTATTTTCTATTTGTAAAAATCAATTGTTCAATTCAGTTGAATATAGTAACATGTCACTATAAAGTTTGGAACATTATAGACTAGTAGTAGAACACACAAATAGAGTTAAGAATTAATAAATAAAAAGTAAAATTATTCAACTTTGTATTATATCTATTAAAATAGATATCAATAAAAAATTGAATAATTTGGGTTTGATATAATAATTATTGTATCAAACTAAACAATATATATTTTAAAAACATTAGAAATAAATGACTATTTGTTTATATGAAAGTATTTGGTTAAACAGCTTTCTATTTGCTAATGGGTATTTTTTTTATTTTAATTTTCGATATTAATATTTTTAATTTGCGATAATTTGATGTATCGTTGAAATAAATTGATCAAGTGAGAGCTTATAAATAAAAGACCCCCTCAAAAAAAACATTAAGTAAAATAATTTCAATATAAATAAGAATCTTGTCTCATAAGAGGAGACTAAAGTGATGAATTTGATATTTATTAAACTTATTCAATCTAAATGAGATAAAAATCAAACAAATTTTAAATTTTTTCTAACTCAAAATAATTAAGAAAAAAAGTTATTTCGACGTTTAACGGACGCAATATTTCCGAAGCTTTATCAAAAGTTAGGTAGAAAGAATTACCTTTTTATGAAAAATTCGCTATTTTGATTCTTCCTGTAAGCATGTAAAGGGTCAGATTTTCAAAAACTTGATATCAAGTAAAAAGGAAATATCTAAGCTTATTATATATATATATATAAAAATTATTTTGTTTAGTACTCAAAATGTTATTACTATCCTAAACAAAAAAATGTCGAAATTTTCTAATTTTTAAAATCGTATTTATTTGAATGATATCCCCCATTTACAGGAAATGAGAATATTTTTTCAATTTTTTAAGGAAATGTTCTCAACTAGATACGATTTGTGAACTTTTTACGAATCGTTGAAAATAGTTATATTGATCGAATATAAACGTTCATAAGAATTAATGCATTTAAAATGTTCAAGAACATTTTTATACTTTAATGTTATTTTTTTTAATAGATTTAAGAAAACATCTTGAATTAATCAATATACTGTCTCTATTCTAACGCTCCAATATCGTGTTAAAACGAAAACAATGTAAGATTATTATAAGATAAATATATAAAAAATAGTATATTTGTGCATCAAATGAAGTGTTATGCGTTGTTTTATAAAGACAGCGTCTGAAAGGAAAAACGTTTCATCATAGTAATAATGTATTTGTATTGAAAACCATAATTTTTTACTACTCAGCCTTTCAAATAAAAAAAACTATTGTTTTATGTAATAGCGACTTTTATTATAAATTTGTTAGTGTCACATACTGGCAATAAAATCCAAACATCTAATAAGTCGATGAAGAAAGCTTTATCATTATAATTGGTATTTGGTGTATCAATTTTTATGTATTTCAGTGATTCAATGAACTGTAATATTTTTATTTTTAAATAAATATCTTTTTATTGATTGAAACTTTAAAAATGATTAATTGAAAAAGCTTCAACTCAAACTTAAAAAGTTTTTAGTTCAACAATCCTGTTAAAACTTATTCGTATGTTAAAAGATTTCAAGTAATACTTCTTGATTTGAAGTCCTATATGAGAAAAATCCTTTAAAAACAGATAGTGAATAAAAAAAAATTATTTTCTGAGCATTTTTGACAATTATAATCCTACTATTGCTATTAATATAATTATCTCATTTATTTCCTGAATAGTTTA